CTAAAATGGATGTTTTAAAATCAAAAGTGCATATGTAGATGTTGAGCTAAAACTTCCATGCGCTTTGAGTCAGGCGTGAAAGGTCTAATTTTTGAACTGATGCAAAAGGCCAACTCACAGGTAGACAGTTTAGAGGCACTTTGTCTGGATTGAATAAACTGAGTACGAAACTGTTTACACAACTTGGTTTATTTTTTCCTCTGTTTGCTTGCAACAAATCTTCCCTGGAACACTCCAGAATCTTAACGACATATACCGAATTATGGGACCAGATCAAGAGCTAAGTACTCTGTGTGTGTTAATTAGTACGGAGCACACTGGCAGTTTATAATTTAATGTACAATATACAACAGGTGTAATTTGTTCCAAGCCATCGTTTTTATAGGAAGTCGTTTTCTACGGAAAATGAGTTATTGTTTATTATCACTGCTCCTACTGTAAGGCTGCAAGCGAAACAGTCTTTAGGCTTATATACGGTTTTTATGTCAGTGCGTACTCTTTGGCCTGTGCAATGAATTTCCTCCGTGAGTTTTGTGGACGGTTTACGGTCTCCCGAGTGACTTACTCCACATGAACTTTCAAACAAAGCGGCGATCAGAGGGCTTAACTTCAATTCCAAATCATGGATGCCTTCCTGACTCGGATTCTGTGGCTTAGTCATAACGTCACGGACAGGTACAGCATGAGCCGTAACCGATAATCTGAGGGGTATCTAAGCCACAATTAATTTTGCTTTCATAACATTTACTAAGTTGAGCTTCTGTCTTCCATTACGTATCTGATCTTTCCTTACAAAACGTACCGATAACGATAGCGTATGGTTTACCAGAACCGTTAAAGTCACAGCACCACGCACAACTTGCGGGCTAGTTGCGTTTATGTCATACATTGATAGACGGCCCTTCGCTAACCCATTCGCTAAGAAATGTGATTCTGTTGATTGAAGCCAAAAAATATCACTTTGATCACCTGGCCACCTACGAACTCATGACAGGCAAACATGGTTTGGACTGAAACGAGTGGTTCAGCAGTGTCATTTATAAGAGATTCGGAGCGCTCTTATCTGGTTAAACGCGTGCGAAGCATGCGGTTACGGTGCTTGTCCGTGTATTCGAAGAAAAGCCTTGTTGCAATGTACAGACCGGTAACCAGTGTCCTTTGCAGAAAGTGAAAAAGGTGCAACAGAGTGGACTATTTTCATAATGTATACAAGAGGACGTGAACAAGTAAAACGCTGGAACAGCGGTGTATTACGGACAAAAAATCTAATGCTTAAGAAGTCCCGTGGGATGGTCAGAATGATAAAGTGAAAATCATTTTTTGGACTCATCAGCTTTGCCTGTCAGTGTGGACAGCCACAGGACGCCTGCGCCTACAGAGGGACCATGGACTGCTTGCGCTGCACCACCTACAGCTCCAACCACACACCCCATATCCAGTGTAAACCCGAAGGAATAAGATCAGGAGGCATGCGGATATGAGCCACGTTTCATCAACGGAGCCGGCCCACACTCCTTCACAGGCAAACGCAACCGCGCTGTATTTGGGAATCAAGCGCACACAAGGCGGTGGCTGGCTCGTAGTCCGCTCCACACTGAGTGCATGGAACCACGCTTTGATCCTACCACGGCCACTAGGACCGTGCACCCCGTCCCATCCAGTATCGACCAACTGTCTCCTAGAGTCAGTATGGACGAGGTAGTGGGTACTAGACAGGTAGGCACCTTGTCAACAGGCACATCAAGCGTAGCCATACCTGGGATGTCAAACAACAGCCAATCACTCAAAATGCCGATATCGAATAAAGTAAACGCATATGACGACATAAATACTCGCTAAATGAGTATATAGAAGAAATTGATTATAAGTGCATCCGTGATAAGTACAAAATGTCTGTTATTTAAAAAGTACCACGCGATTCAACTACGCAAGTTTACCACCTTTTGCATGATTGACGTGTGCAAGTTAAGAGAAGATTATCAAGTACGCAGAACAAACCAAATAAAATATAACGAATTTTATCCACATTATATATATATATATATATATATATATGTAAAGGCGAAAGCCTCGACTTTGTGGGTTAACGTTGATTTTGTAACCTTCCTTAGCTTATTTCGTCTGTCCATCTACGCGTACTATATCTCGTAATGCAGGTGGTAGATAACAGTAAGACAGATGTAAGCAAATAGGATGTGGGGTGAGAGCATTAAAACAACGGCTAATCGAGTATTAAAGATTAAAATGATCTTTCAGATAACTACAAGAGTGACATTACTTGGATGTTCATGGGTGCCGATGAGGTCTGTACAATGAGCAAGTCACCCCTGATCCCCCCCGGTAAACGGGAAACGATAACGTAGATCTGATTTCCACACCGTTCTTGCCGGTCACAAGCCTTCTGTTGGTCCCCAGGAGCTAAGCGGTAAGTAGAGCTGCGTTCTAACAATTCAACAGATTGTTACCCTAACCTTTCATAGCTGACAGTCACAGAACGTTCACCTGGGGTGCTGTAAACTCACGAAGTTTGTACTAACATGTGTGATGAAAATTGAGAATGAACATGTTTATCCAGTTTAGTTGCAGCTTGTCGCAGTCCCTCACAATCAGGCAGGCACTCACAGGCCTAGAGAAGAATCAGGCGGCCGTTTCAACATTTTGGGTCCAGTACGTGGTGCGTGTTCCTCTGACCCCTAAAGGCTTCCGACTACATGGTTCCCGGATGTCTGCACCTTATATCATTAAGCCATGGGTGACGGCGACGGAACTGTATGGCTGACAGTTGACTACGATATAACGCGGCTCATCCTCATGGGTCAGAACTGTGATCAGGGCTGGAAATGCTGATAGAAAATGCTGTAAGGCTGATCGAACCTCACAGGCCAGACCGATAGGGGGTGAGCATGTTGCAGGTAGCAGATTGGTCAGCCAATCAGGAAATAGTGGGCCCGTGATCGCGGCCCGTCTGCAACCATCCACTGAACGTGCAAGTGACCAGTCAGGCGCCAGCAGGCGAAGGAGCGCATACTCGTGCACCTTCGAGCCAAGGCTTGTGGCATTGGACAGAGGACAGAAGCGCGCGGGCCCAATCCCGCCAATCGTACATCCACTAAGAAGGTCAAGGTGATTTTAGACAGAGTGAACGTGACGAGCAAGCGTAAACCAATGGAAAAGGAGCCAGCGACACAATGCAGATAACCGGGATGAGTCATTGAAACGGACTGTGGTAAATAGTGTATATATTCTATAAATATGCGAGCGTAATCTTAATAAACCACTTTGTGATCGCGGCCCAGTCTTCTTGCTTCCCGGAGGGCAACATGACAGGAACAAAGCAAGGGTCCGTGGAATGCGTACTAGTGACGAGACCAAGAATATCGAACGGACCGTCTGGTGCTTTTCCAGACGTGTGGGAACCTGCGTGCTTGAGATAGGACTGCGACGAATTACATCTAATATTGCACACAAATATCACTACTAAATGGTGGTTGCCTATTTACTTACTTCCTTAGAAAACTACCGGAGTGAGCTTGGTGCACGCTATCTCGAACAGGTGCTTTGGAACACGACACCCTTTGTTTTTATAAATAAATAAATGATCGATTTATTCCTCGACGATGGGAGGCACAGTCCAACTGTGTAGCCTGATCAATCTGTACGATGGAATCGCATAAAACGGTAAATTGTGCTTGTTTTGTGTGAAGAATCCTAAATGGGTTGTTGAAGTTATTGGCAGTCTCAAAGTATCAGAATGTGTAAGCAAATGGGAACAATGAAAAAGCAGATTTAGCCAAAAGTACAATTAAAGGAATACGATCAATCACGGGAACCTCCCCAGGGGACGTGCTTCCATGTGGGTTATTCCCTCGGTAGGTTTCTCCCGCACTTCCATGCTCCAACTGGCTGTGTGCCGGTGTGGCAAAATAATATGTAATCCATCACTTGTTTACCAAAGGTTTTTTGTATAAGAGCTGTTATATGCATGCATTATTGGCGATGAAGCCTCAACCCGTTCGGACATGCTCATCCCGAAAACATAACATACAGTTGGTTATAAAATTCACATTCCACCTTCATGTTGTCAGCGTCAGAGGACTATATAGTGTAGAACCCATCTTATACAACGCTAAGCAGGACTATATCATAACTTATATTTGAATGTTCATGCGCAGCTAGCTAAGTGAGCACACCTGCAAGAGGTTAGGTGTGTGAGCGAGTCTTGTAGTTTTGTCAGAAAATAGCCAACCGATGCTTTTTCGTTTACAGTTGACTTACTCTGTCCATTAGATGACTCCAGCTTAAGCTACTTCGCTACATAAATGATGGATGTGGCCATTTTAACTAAACCATACTCCCTCTCGTCTTTCTAAAGCTGACCAGTTGAATAGATGTTTCTAACACCAGTCACTATGGAAATGATGCAAGGACACTACTCCAATTCTTTTGATAGAGATGCCATAGAAAATGAATATGACGCGGCATCCATGGGAAGTTTCGAAAGTGTTCTAATGTACAGTAGTTTCGACGTTCTTAGTTTAACTAAAGCGTTCTGCAATGGCTCAAAGTCACTGTGGTTTCTACTGAGGTACAAGATGACCATATCGAAGTTCGGTTCATCGAAGGCATTAGTTCATTGGCGTCTACGTATGGACAAATCTGGAATAGTTTATCTCTAACATGGATAGGTTATATGCACACATTCTCACTCACGTGACATCTGTGGAATTGCGTTCATGTCAGTGTATCATTATTGGTTAACTCAGTGCACTCCCCCGCGTCTCATACGCTGCAATTTCGCCATTCTACTGCCGTCAGAATGATAGATGATTGTAGTGCAATGCGACAAGGTTTACTGTTGTTGTAACCAGCATCGGTGCATTTAATGTTGCATTAACTATGTCATAATCCTTACTTGTTATGGGGCAAGCATAGACCAGCATGGGTCGCTTCCATTCCTGGAGTAAACGTTCCTCTCAGTCACACCGTCATGTGCCTTATTC